TGGATACCACATCGAATAAATGTAATATGAATCAAATTGATGTCTCGGCTAATCTCAGCTCAGTAACTGCTTTGACATCTAACTCAAACGTAGATGATTTTACCGGTAATTTGTACGAGAATTTATTGGCTGTTAAAGCATCACAAGAATTGGAACATAAACTGCCGCCTGCGTCGCTAAGCACAAGCACCCCAACAGAATCGCCACACACACAGACAGTTGTGGAAACTGAAAAGTCGGCAGAGGAAGAGGAAAACTACTATCAAACGCCGCGTAAGTCAATTATCAGTGTCGATGACAAAATCCCTTCTTACTATCCGAACAGCTGTGATACAGCGAAAACTCGCCGCCACCACATATTGGCCACAACGAGTCCGCAACAAGCAGTGGCTAATTCTTCACCAACAATATCTGGCGCGGGCACAAGCGAGGTAGGCACACACTGTAAAAAGAGGAAAAAATACAAACTATTTTTCTTAAAATACTTTTTGTTGTGTTTATTTAACTTTGGATTGTTTTTATTTAGTTGTTTTTGGGAGTTCGTTAAACTCTCGTTTATTGTAGATTGTCTTCGTTGTTGGAAACTTAGTTCGAGCGTTATTTAAAGAAATTCAGTATTTATTGTTATTATTATTGTCTCTTKTTGCTGCTTTCATTTTGTTGCTCTGGCTGTTGTTGTTGTTTTTTTGCAGATTTATCTGTTCGCGTTTCCCGTTCTAATTGGTGTTTTTGGTTGTTGTTGTTGACATTTTTTTGTTGTTGACGTTTCGTTGTTGTTGATATTTTGTTGCTGTTGACATTTTGTTGTTGTTGTTGACACTTTGTTATTGTCATTTTGTTGTTGAAATTTGGTTGTGGTTAACATTTTGTTATTGTTGTTGTAATTTTTGTTGTTGGTATTTTGTTGTTGTTGACATTTTGTTGTGGAGTCAAAAACATTGCAGATAATTGTAAGAGGATTTCCCTTATAATGTAAATTATGAGACCTTTTTGTCCTCTGGGATCTCTTTTATTTAATTTTCGCAAACTTTCAGAAATCCAACAACCCCGCATCATCGGTTGGTCTACGCCACTTAGTGACTTTGAAAATAAAGCGTGAGCGCAAAGAGAACCTATACATATCATCGCCACAAAGCATCATTGAGCAGCGACAATCTGGCAATTATGCGACGGAGGCAGACAACAAAAATGCACCGAAAACTAGCAAAGTGCATAAAACTCTGCGGGCTGGTGCTTTAAAAATCGCCGAACATGTCTATACCGTTAAGCATGCTAAGCAGAAGAGTAACAGTGCCGATAAGAATCTCAACAATAACAACAATGAAGCAGATGTGACGAAATTAGCCGATGATGTGCGTGAACGCCTGCAAACGGAGCTGCTGCAGTTCGCACTGTTGCAAAAGATTGACTTCAAATTTGATGACGCAAAAACAGCTGGCGATCAGCCGAATCCATTGGAGGGTCTTAAAACGCCCTCACCTACCGGAAGGCGACAAGCAACCAACGCCACCGATAAGGAGCGCATCTACGAKAATCTGCTCCACCACCATCTACAGTTGCGGCAAACTGAAAATCGTTTGGCTGAAGGCATTGRCAGCAATTTGTCCACCAMACCGGTGTCTAGCACCAGCGTGACAAACTCCAAATTGGAAATGCATCAGAGCTGCATGGCGGATGTAGGCGATGAGATCAACATGGTCGACGGTGGCATAGCTGCGGTGGGTGACAGCTGCAGCGCGGACGCAGCTGTGGGCGGTCTGAGTGGTGTGAAAAAATTTGCCTCGCTGCCGCGTTTCAAGAAAATCGACTTCTCGCCACTGCGCTTGCGAATTAACAATGTACTGCAACGCGGTCAGCAGCAGGATTTTTAATTGTAAGCACCACTCCACCCACATWCTATAACGTAAAGGGTGTGAATGTAGTGAAATTCGGTTTAAATGCGCAGAATGTTGTTAGTTTAGCTGTAATSGCTTCAAAAGTATGCTTATGTAAGCTCTAAATTATTTTACACTTGTTGAGTTTTCTATGCTATTTACCGTTTTTACGCAGCTTTAAGCTCTAGCGCCTGTTTTTAACCTCTAGTAGTAAGCCCTCTCATTTGAAATAAGCTTTGGCTGTTCTATGTATGTAAGTATGTATGCCTTTGGAATATTGTATGTTAAACGCTAATCTCATTGTTATTGTTGTTGCTTTTATTGGCCGACATTTAGAGTACAAAAAAGTCGCAATTCGACTCAAAAGTGTGACTTACCGTGAATTATCGTATTGAAACTATGTGAAACTATTTTTCTATAATTTTCACAATTTGTGCTTAATTTATATGTAAATATTTTTTTTTCGTTTGGTGAATGCATTGTGCTTATTTTTTTTATATAATTTGTAATTTCAAATATGTGTGTTGTATAAAACATATTAATGTACAATGTACAAATGTATTAAAACTTAAATTATATGCTCAAAATGAATTTTTAAATATTGCTATTTAATTAATTTTATTTATATTTTTGGTACTTTTTTTTTCTTTTCTTTGTACATACTTTTGCCTAATTTAAGCTTAACAAAATGCCTGTGTTAATTGTA